CCCGTCAGGCTCAGGCTCTCCCCGCTCAGCTCGGCCACCACTCGGACCCAGCGCTCCCTCAGGAGCAGCTCCACCAGCCCCGCTTTGGTGGCCCGCGTCCACACCGCCATGGCCGGCCCCGCTCCCGCCGCCGCAGTCGGCGCAGCTACCCTCATTCCAGTCAGGCAGCCTCGACGCTTCCCCCTTCCCGCCCCAGGGGGGCGGGCCCGCCGACCCCCCCGGCCGCCACCGCGGTGATTAATTATTCATGAGGGGCCACGCCCACCTTCCGGAGGGGCGGGGAGAGGCCGGCTGAGCCGCTTCCGGGAGGTTAAGGAGTTGACCGCAGTCCAGTGGGTTACAGTTTACCGGACGTGGGCAGCTCTAGCGAAGTGGGGCTTGGACTCACCTTCTTCCTCGTACGGCTCCGATCTCCCCACCCCCAACTCCTGACCTCTACCGTGCAATTCACCAGAGCTGCCTGGGCACGGAAAGCAAAATCAGCTTCGAGAGGCACTTTGCAATCCTGCAAGACCGAATTGCATGTTCCCTTGCATTGACTAGTTCGTTACGTATTTACAGGATGCTCCGCAGTGTGCTCCCTTTGAGGCCTGGAGAGGAGCTGGATAAAACGTGCCACAGCTCAGAGCTGGCGGTCTAGTGGGGGAGGAAAATGGAGAACCAACCAACCTGATGTGGTTAAGTGACATGTAGAAAACACCCTGAGAGCAGAGTAGAAGAAACATTTAGTTGGGCCTGGGGACAGCTTCACAGAGGTGACAGTGGAAGCTCAATAGTCCACCTAGGCAATAGGTTCAGAGGCATGAATCCAAGCATTTGTCACTCTGCTTTGTAATCCCGTTTACTTGCCAGTAATGCCAGAGGAGACCGTATCTTCTTTAGCCGTGCAGCCACAATAGGTAGGCCTCAAAGATATTTGTCAAATGAGTTACTTAGGAAGATGCCAGAATTCCAATGTGAACAGAGTACAGGGTCAGTGGAGATGGCAGAATATGAGTGTAAAAAGCCTCATATAACCAAATATTGGAGCGTTTGGACTTGAATTTGTAGATCTGACTTTCTCACCCTGGAGGCCTTGGCCTTATGTTGGAGCAAGTGCATATGAGCCTCCCCAGAAACTGCACACTGCAGGGCCTGCAGCAGCTTTTATACAAAGACATGGGTGATACAATCCACCTGGTTCTTCCAGTTTCATGGGCTTGAAGAGCTGAGGAAACTGAGGCCCAGAAAGCCAAAGACTCTGGCTGGAAGCCCACAGCAGAGAAACAGAGACAACTCAAGTCTCCCATCCTCCTAGTCCAGGGCTTTTAAAAACAAACAAACAAACAAAAAAACATACCCCATACCTCAAAGATGAGGGTCCAGAAATCACGCTGCTGAGAGAGATCTCAAAAATGTGAAGTCAATGAGCCCTCTTTCCTTTTTTTTTTTTTGGAAAGAAAAGCAAAATCCCCATATTTTCATTTGTGTGTGTGTGTGGGGGGGGTGCCAGCAGAGGTAGCAAGTACCAGTTCCTGTAAAAGGGGCTAATACCTGCTTGCTCATGAAGTACGTGTTGAAGCTTGTAAGCCATGTCCATGTACCACTCTGAATGCACATTCGTGTGTGGGCAGAAACTTTCAAAGAGCCTCCTATACCAGGAGTTAAAACAATAAAAATAGAGACTGGAAATCACCCAGAGCCCAAATGAAGAAAGAATTCAAAATGAGAAAAGTATCTTACCCCCAAAAAATCATTACAGCAGAATCCTCTTTGCAATTAGCGGAGCAGAATTTTCCAAGCTGCAAGTGTCAGCAGAAGCTCAACCCTCCAGCCCTCTCCTAAATCAATTGCAGTGAGGCCAGATCGCTGTTCCGGCAGGTCCCAATGTGCTGAAGTGCACCTGCAGTCACAGACATTTCTGGCTGTGCTCCAGCTGAGGCGTGAACCCCCAGATGCCTGAGTTATGTGAAATTTCTGCTTATTAGAGAGCACCTGGCAGCTGACTCCTTAAAGTATGAGCACAATTTTGAAACTTTTACATACCTAATTGCCCAGAGGTTGGGCACTTGAGGACACCTTTATTAGCAAAAGGGAAGTGCTGGAAATTCTTTCCAAAAGTGTCAAGACCTTTTGGTCAGTAGAACTGAAGGAAGTCAGTGATCTTCCAAATAAATAGTGAGGACACTTACATAAGGTAGTAATTTAATCCTGGGAAGAGGAAAGGTAATTGAGATTGATATTGGGATTACTTGGGGGTATTTACTTTAAAAATTATTTTCAAATATATCCATAAAAGTTTTCCAAACTATTGAGCTGTTTTGACAAGGTCTTGCATCAGAACCTAATTTTCCACATTCTCTTTCATCACTACACATTGGCCAGATTCATCCTGTCAGTGTCTCCCAATGATGCCTTGCACATACCTGCCAGAGTCCATCCTTCCAAACACTTCCTGCCCCTTTCAACCACTTTCCCACCGAGCAAGATCTCATCCCAGTTGTTCCTGGCTGCCCAATTTGCTGGGATTTTTTCTTTGAACAATTTTATTCTATGCCTATGCCTCGCTTGTTCGTCCAAGTAGATTATAAAATACAGGAGGGTAGGAACCACCCATTGACTTCTTTTTGCTCCCCACTCTTCCAAAAATACTGCCTTGCAGAGAAGGAACTCATTAAACATGTGATTGACTGAAATTCAGTGCCTCCTGCGCTGTAGTCATTTCAAATAATCCCTCTGAAGGTTACTGGTTCCTTGCAGAGTGAAAATTACCATCTAGGAAATCTCAAGTAGTCAATGGAAATCCACTTAACTGTGGATAATGAAATCTGAAATAAAAAGGGTACACATCTGTTCCCACGGTTTCTTAGGGATGGCGAGACAAGCTTAGATAATTCTTTGAACAGGCATGTTATTTTATCTACCTCTAAAAAAGGGAATGGCTGAGGTAATTCCCAATCACCTTCCATTCCTGTCACCTATCAGTAGGTATTCTCCTCTGCTCAAGCTGTTGTTTTCTCAGGACAAGGCAGGCATCATTGCTACTTCAAAATGAGGGGGTTGGATTAGCTCTCTCAGTTCCATGATTTCCTACAATTATATTACTCAGGCTCTGATTCTATACTCTCTCAAAAGCCAGTGGTCTTTTTTTTCTTCTCCCTCATAGTAGACATACAATATAGCATGGTAATTAAAAGCACAAGGTTCAAATTGTAGTTTGGCCACTTACTAGTTATACGACAATGGTCAAGGGCCTGAGGTCATGGGCCTCAGTCCCTTCAGAAAACTTCAGACACCTTCTACCTCGAAGTGTGGTTGTAAGGGTTGACTGGGGTGATGTCTGCAAAGTGCTTAGCAACACTGTACCCAATGCACTGTAAGAGTTCCATAAAAAGTATCGCTGCTGTTATATTATTACCTGTTGACCTTTAGCAGCAGCAACAGTAAAACCTTTGGTTGAAACTCTCTAGCTTAGAGTCTATACTTTATCATAAAGGAGTCTGTCATAATACTATTTGACTCCAGGCTTAAAGGGCAAATGGCCAAATGAATTTCGGTGACAAACAGATCTTGTGTAAAGCTACACTTTGGCTGAAAGGGAGTACATATTGCCAAAAGTCCGTCAAAGGAAAGAATTAGTGGATCTGGGGCTGCTTCCAAGGTTTGAGTGTTGTGTAATTTCATAAGGAAAGAGGGCCCCAGGCAAAATTGCAGCCCTTAGCAAGCCTGAAGGTCATACCACAAAGGCGGCCAGATGCCAGAGGAACAAAAGAGCTGCTCAATTACTACTAAAGAAGAGGCCAAAGGGAGAAATAAACTTGTAAGATAACCAATCCAACATCCAACTCTGAAAAAGTACCCATGCATTCTCTTCCCCCATTAGAGGACAGTGAGATCAATTGTCCCTTTCGACAGTACTACTTTGCCTTCCGGGAGAAATATCCTAAAACCTATTTTTCTCTCCAGCACAAACATGAAGTGAAAGAGGAAAAGGTGCATATATCCTTTAGCTGATGCAAGCGCATTTTAAAATTCATCCTGCCAAGATAAATCACTATCCATCTGAAACCCACAAAAATGGATTAACTATCTCAGTGTGTTATAACTATGAAAACCCACATCTGCTAACCACATTCCTAATGAGAAGCAGCTGGTGACAGTTTTGTTGCTCTGTGACTTTCTTTTTAGGAAAATATTAACAAGGATATAACAAGAAGAAGGTTAGTTTCATTGAATTCACTTAGTTATGGAAAATCACTGGTGTTTTTTATTGACAGTCATGGAAATTACATAATTTCCCATGAAATTCAAATAAGGTCCAAAAATAAAAATCCACTTTCCTCCCATACCAGTTCTAACAGAATTTCCAGTGCCTCACAGTAACACTTGTAGTCTTCTAGTCAGTGTAAACTCTCATTCTTCATATACCATTGAACACCAGATTGTGTTTATTGATGCCTGTGGCATTTCCAGGCCTTCGTCTCACATCTTTAACTTCCTCCTGAGTAAGTTAATGCAAACAGCCAACTGGGGAGGGATCACAGACCCCTTTGGGAATCAGCTGCCTGCTATGGACCCACCTCAGACAAATGCACATTTGTGTAAAACTCAGCAAACTTGGGGGCTCACAAAGCTCCTGAAGCCCTTCCACAGACTCTGTTATGGGCTGAATTGTGTCCCCTCAAAATATACAGGTTGAAGTCCAGACCCACAGTAACTCAGAATGTGACTGTGTTTTGAGATAGGGTCTTTAAAGAGGTAATCAAATTAAAATGAGGTCATTAGGGTGGGCCCTAATCCAATATAACTGTTGGTGCAGAGATTAGGACACAGACACACACATAGGGAAGGCCATGTGAAGACTCAGGGAGAAAAGGGCCATCTACAAGCCAAGGAAGGGGGCCTTAGAAGAAGCTGACCCTGCTAATGCCTTGATCTCAGACTTCTAGCCTCCAGAATTGTGAGAAAATGAATTTCTGTTGTTTAAGCTACCCAGTCTGTGATACTGTTATGGCAGCCCTAGCAAACTAACACAAACCCCCAAGTCAAGAACCTACACAACAGTCTGTTTTTTGCCTCCCTAACTTCCAGTCTCTTCTGTCCCTTACTTACACAAATGGGCATTTTTACT